TTTTTGAAGAGAGAGAGCGAGAGAGAGAGAGAGAGAGAGAGAGAGAGAGAGAAAAAAAAAAACAAAATCACAGTTTCCTTTGCTCGGAAAGACTGGAATGTATGTTCATTTGTAGAAAGATGTGCAGATACTTATACGCGACTCCTGTGACGTGCCTTGGCATGTGCAGAAGCCTGTATCCCAAGGGTCCCGCAGAGTCTCCGTCTTTAGATCGGTCCTATATATTTCGATCGATCCTTCACTATATACATATAGGTCCATATGCTCCCGAGACCCTAAACCCCAACCATTGCCCCAAGAAGACCTAGAGCCCCAAGTTTTGTCATGGGCTGAATAAGATGCGAGACTCTAGATCTGCAGGTATCAACCGAAGCCTGAAGAAGCCGCCCTTTTGATCTAACCCGTGGAAATCCCTGTAATTGAACAATGGCAGCCCTGCCACATTCAAGCGCGTCCGGTCTCGATGCCGAACGAATTCCAGGACGAGCGTACGCCTGTTCGGGCTTCTAAAAGGTTTCACATTTGGAGCTGCGTGTTTCTAGTTTCAGGAGACCTACAGTCCAGGGAGGGCCCATGGGAAGCATAACAAAGGTCTAGTTGATTGCCGGGAACAATACTCATTCGTTCTCTAGCTATAGAGAGAATTAGGATGTCGATCGATCAATTTCAGCACTAGGCCGCATTGTACGTGCACGCACATACTGTGTGGATGCTGTGGGCCAAATCATGTACCTAGAATTACGTAGGTGCTGCATGGGTTGTCCTACCTGGGCTCCGGGATGGAACTGTGTGCCACAAGGATGCATACATCTGTCCAGTTGCTAATAACTTATGCATGGAGGTTCAGCTAGCTCGGGCCGGCATTCTACAGAAGGCTGCTGGCCTGCCTCGGATACACCTGCCTGTAGCTTCCACGTCGTGCTAAACAGAAGTCATCTAGAGGGGCAGTAATGTAGGTGGCTATATAGATTTTCTAGAGAATCCATTATGATTCGAATCAACGTCATCTAGCTAGGAAATTATACGTATACTATATGCAATTGGTTGCTTTCCTTTAGCTCGGGTGCTGTGCCAGGCTACTCGTCGGATCCTAGAGCAAAGATGCTGTCTGGGAATGTGTGTCGGGGAACGGTTCTAAGGCCATGTTGAGTTGCTCTTCTGTCGGGTGAGAGATTATTTGCTTCAGCATACTAAGAAAGTCGGCCCGGTGTATTAGCCCGATGGGTCACCAGCCTCGGGATATCATCTGCATGCACTGCTGCTACCTTGACGAAGGGAAGCTACATAGGAAAGGAATACATCATATTCATCGATCGAGCTCATCATCTTCAGGGTTTCCATTGCATGCTTATGTTTCGAAATAACTTCCTTGGTTGGTTGTGTTCTGCTTGGGGCCATACATGGATATCTTCGGCCTATGATATTCCGACCACGGTCTAGCCTAGCCTAGCCTAGCCTAGCCTAGCCTGTATGATAGTTTCGTGCTTCGGTCGGGCTCCTCGTTTGCAAAGGAAGCTAGCCAGACTTATACTAGCTATATAATTATCAATTTAAGGCCTTGTCTTGTATTGAAAAGGTAGCTTCTGTATGCTCCTGCTGGTACGTTAATTATACTTGTCTAGAGCTATAGCTAGGTGTTTTTATAGCTCTGGGCTTGCAGGGCTATGTTTTTAGTGGGTTTCAGGCTTGGGACTGCGGGCTTCGATAATTAAACTATAGTTCAAATTACAGCAGCTATATAGGGTATATACGCGCGTACATTAGGTGCGCATTCCAGGATGCGGGGCTCTGGTTTCAGGGCTTGGGCGGGAGTTCAGGGTTGCGGGCTTTGGACGGGCTGTGGGCTGCGGGGCGGTGTGCTTGCGGGCTTGCGGGCTTGCGGGTTTCGGTTTTGGGTTTTTGCGGGGCTTTTGGATTGGTGGATTTAGGGCCTGCGTGCACCTTGATCACACAAGCCTGCCAACAGCACCCTGAAGAGAAACCCACAGTCTTGCATGTATATAAGCCTAGCTAGCTTCTGCATGAAAGCCTCGACAATAACACCCTGAAGCCCGCAAACCTGAAACCCAGAGCCCTGAACCCCACAGCCCTGAAGCCCGCAGGCCCGAAAGCCCAAACCCTACAACCCTGAAGCCCTAAATCCCACGTAAAACCCGCAAGCCTGAACCTCTAATTCTCAACCCCGCGTGCCCTGAAGCCCGCGAGTGGGCCCGCAGTGAAGATCTTCAGGCCTGAAGGCTCTTTGGTGTGATCATTTAAGCACGTAGCACTGGGTTTCAAGCTTCAGGTTTCAGGGCTGCGTGTGTTAAGGCAACTTGTGGCTCAGAGCAGCGGGGCTGTGAATCACTTCGTGTGGCTAAGTTAAAAAACACGCAAAATGGAAAAATCCAAACAGACACTTTTAGGCACGCAACCAGCGCTTTTAGGCACGCAACCAGCACTTTTCGGCACGCAACATCGGTTTCTGTTTTGGGCCACTTTTTGCACAACTTTTGCGCGCTTTTAGGCACGCAGCTCTGCCGTACGCAGGGTTGCTCGACAATGGCCCTCAGCAGGGACACTCACTCGGCCGAGACGTTGGCTTCAGGGCTGTCGTTTTTGTTGCGGAGAGCTTCAGAAGGTAATCTCGATGATTTAAAGAACGTGGCCCAAGAGCCTCAGTTGCATGCATCATCTATTTCTTTGCTTGAATTATGATGATCCCATGCTGTGCGCTTGCTACCTTCGACCCACCTTAATTATATAATGCATGACTAGACTAGAAAATTCCTCCATTCATCCTTATGCAGGAGCTGAGTGCGGCTATTGTGGCGGCCGAATCCGAAGTGAAGACCGAGCCCGCGACGGAGTCCCAGCTGGCCGCAGTTCGTTTGAAGCCGGTGCCTGGGAACGCAATCGATCTTCGCACTTGAGGCTCATCGGGTCCCATCAGTTTAGCTGTTCTAGATCGATAGACAACAGGAGCCGTGGTATATTACATCTATATGGGTCTACATGTATAGTACATATACGTATGTTTGCATGGAAGCTATGCATGCATGCACATGTGCATGCAAAAGGTCTCGTGGATTGCGTGCTTCATCTACGTATGTGTGTATTGAATGAATTTCTCGATCGACCATATTGTCATGCATGCATATAGTGTGCATGCATCCATGCACAATATGCATGTGCATATTTATATGCATGTGATCTCTAGCATGTACGATGATATGAGGTGAAGCAGGAGCCAGGAGTTCCCCAGCCGCCGCAGAGACTCGACAGTGGGACGTCCCTGCCCTCTCCAGCATCTACAACACCGCCCCCTTCCTCGCAAGCGCGTGCGAACCTGGAGCAGGCCCCTTAGTTAAAGTAAAACCAATGGTTTCCAAAAAGAGTTCTGTATCCCTGTACAGCTATCTCTCATGTACGTATAGGAGCTGGCCCACAAGCTGGCGATGCTGTGTGCTACGGTGAGGGCACAGCAGGAAGAGCTCCAGAAGCTCCGTGGTGCTCAGCCGGACCAGGATCGATCACAAGAGTATGCATGCATGTTATTGCATTCATTAATCACACAGAAAGATGTATGAAACATGCATGTATATACATCATATGTATGACAGTGTGTGTGTCTGAATGTTCACGATGCCAATGTGTGTGGTGTCAGCCCGATCTTGCCCACAATGAACGAATCCCAGCAGGCACCGGCAGCGCCTGCAAAGCAGAGCGAAGAGCCGAGGATTGTGGCCGAGCCAGGCTCTGTCGCAGAGGTCGTTACAAGCTCGAGTGCCCGTGGCTCCAAGCGCCCCCATCCGGTCACTCCAGCCGCCACGCCGACCAAGCCAAACAAGCCCGACTCCGGGAAACCTGCCCCTTCCAAGGACGGTGCAACTCAGGCCGAGTCTGATGACGATGAGACCCCCAAGGTCCTGAACTTCGCGCAGATGTCGAAGTTAGAGAAGGAGAAGGTGCGGAGGATTGTGTCGCCCAAAAAGGCGACAGGGAACCTTGAGGTTCCTGAGAACATCTTCGAGATGTGGAAGGACGCCGGGGCCGGTGTACATGTTGATTCATCCCTGAGGCCGTGTTCATGGAATCCCTTGAAATCATCAGCCGAACGACACGAAGCAAAAAGCTGGAAGTGAAGGGCGGATTCTACAGTAAGGAGGACATGAAGACCGAGCTAGGCTACTCCCAGACACTTAGCAGCAGCTCATTGTTTCGATCAGGATTAGGGTTTAGGGTAGCATCACCCAGCTGGCCTCATACATCAGCACATCATCCCAGCCGCCCAGGTCCCGCGTCGACAAAATCGTCGCCTGGGCAGAGAAGAAGCGCTTGGTCCGGCCACTATGTCAGCAGTATATGCATGTGTCCGTTGATGCACTATGAAGCTCTTCAACCATCCTCGATATAGCTGTCATGGGCAGCACAGACTAGAGGTACGTGTTCTTAATTCGAGTGATTCGAGTCAATGTAGCCATGTGTACATATATAGCAGGTAGCATGCAGTCAACTCCGATCTGTCTGCTAGTCCAGCTATAGGTTCTTACAGCTTGCAGCTTTAGGCCGCAACCCGCGGAAGCTTCACGATCATAATTCGGGTTTTGGGAGTGATCCGGTTTCAGGGCATTCGGGGGCACTTACATTGACAGTGTGTTTAGGATGGTACTTGCATGCTTTCACTAGTTACAGACTTATATAGAAGCATGCATGTCTCGGTTATACTCCAGACCTGTATATGGAGTCGTGCAGCTAGACACTTGCCACGATTGCAACTAAGAACCTGTGAATACGACGACGAGACCCTGGAGTACCGGGTCAACGTGCGGACCAGTGGGACCCTGACCCAAGAGGACCTGGAGCAGATCGAGAGGAAGCAAAAGTTCGAGGGGGAGGGAGGAGATGAGTTGAACTTCAACCCCAGGGTTCACCTTGATGGCTTTTCCTTCGAAGATGATAACCCCATGGTGCACACGTCCACGAAGAACCTTGAGGGTGATCAGCACAAGAGTGCCCTAGGACTGCATGTCCATGTGACTGCTAGGATGTCAGCCCAGCTTGCTGCAAAACTTGCTTTATAGTCTCTATATAGATGTGTCCATGCTCATCTAAGGCTGCTTCCCAGATGAAGGAGTACATGAAAAGTCTGCTCAAGGCCAAGAACTCCTTGGAGGCTTTTGCGGACAAGATCCGGGCTTCCGTGGCTGGGGATGCTAAGGCGGAACAGTGGCTAGCTCCAAAGTCCATGGTCGTGGGTTGCACAATGCCAAGCCTGACTGAGGACAATCAAGAAAATCGATGGAATGATCAAGGAGCATGAAACCTTGTACTATGAGATGGCCGAAGCCAAAGCGGAAGGGGCAACCGGCTATACCCCAAAGCCGAAGGGCGGCAGTTTGCAATCGTAAGGTGGTATGTGCGTGAGCTAGGGTACATAGCATCCTGATTCCTAAAAATATGCACTGTACATAACATATCGGTCGATCCCTAGAATCTTAAACAACTTATCATCTATACAATTGCGAGTTCTACACTCACTCAGACAACTAGTATAGCATCCTTTATAATTGTCACTTACACCCAAGCCGAAACTGAACAAGACTCTTAAGCTAATCTTGGGCTATCTGAGGCTGCAGGAGGAATGCAAGATGCAGTTTGTCAGGGCTCAGAAACTGAAGCTTGGCTCCATTGATTGTGACTAGCTGAGCTGCATTTCTATTCGAGTGCTTCTTGGTCATGATGACGTGAAATTAGATCAGCAAACTCCACCACTTCATCCTAAAACGCAACTTGTCGAGGATTGCCAAAGCCTCAGCCATTGAGGCCGGCAGCAAGCTTCGCTCTCAGCAGACTTTTGTATGGGCTGAAACAAATATAATATGGTATCGACTGGGTTTCTATTCAGGGGTTTTTGTTTTTATCGGGGACGGATTCAGATCCTTATCCTTGCTGCGAAGTGCAGTAGGGGGCATGCACTCTAGGGTCGATCAAATAAACCTGCAGCACTCTGTAAAAAGACTCCATTCCTGAATTAGACCGATCGATCTATACATAGGACTGAGTGTATGGGACTTTCAATGTTGTAATCCTGGTTGCATCGATACAAAAATGACCTCAGAAAACCACCTAGCCTTATAGGGTCGTAGCGCCTGTAAGCCCTGACTCTGACCCAGGCCAGTGATGTACTCCCGTAGGATGCTGCAGCCGCCTCTGCACAAATTATCGAGCTTGTAGACACCAATAACTCGTACAACAAACCCATCGATTATCTAATTAAGCAGAGGACACTTAGTGCAAGAAGCTTCGTCGTCTATTTCTTGTTTCTGTGTCCCTTTGTCTCGTTAACAAAGATATTCATCTCACTCTCCCCCAATCCCTCTTGCCCTCTCAATCTCTTTATCTCTCTGGCTGGCTGTCTCTCTCTCCGGCTTTTCATCCATCTGTCTGTCATATACTGACTTACCGCACTTTACATATCTTTCGCCCTTGCTCCCCTACTCACCCTACTCTCGCTGCGGCTTTCTTTTTTCTCTCGCGCTCTCTCTCTCTCTCTCCCGCTCTGTCCCTCTTTCTCTTTCTTTCTCTTTCTTTTCTCTCTCTCTCTCTCTCTCTCTCTCTCTGTCTCTCTCTCTCTGTCACTCTCTGTCACTCTCTGTCACTCTCTGTCTCTCTCTGTCTCTCTCTGTCTCTCTCTGTCTCTCTCTGTCTCTCTCTCTCTCTCTCTCTCTGTCTCTCTCCCTCTCTCTCTCTTTCTCTTTCTCTCTCTCTTGATGTCGGACCTACGGACCTGTCCCAATTAGTCATGCATAAGTCAATCCAGATGAACCATCGTTGGGACGCAGCTTATGCTAGGACCGATCAATTTCCCAGGTTTCTCAACAAAGTATTGAGTGGATTACTATGATTCCAGTACATGATCACTTTTGCATACAGGATAGGATGCATGCACAATTATACTTGCTCATTCTCAGGGTCGTGCAAGGAAACGCTGTCTTAATTAAATTCTTGCCAACGTGTTTTATACTTGTGCAGATAACATAGTAAAGCCTAGTTTCATTTATTATGTTCGGGCAAACCTAGAAGCTCTGCAGGCTGTTGCTGGTACAACAGTAGCCAGCTTCTTGTGACTTGTCCGTTGGTGGCCTTCTTTGGGTCGTCGGGTGTGAATGATCGGGATGATTGATCGTGCCCTACTACAACAGTGCCGGGTCTTTTCCTAGTTCTAGTGTAGCAACAGCTACAGTACCATCCAGTCCTGGGTGTCAATTACAGCTGCATGAAATTATGCCGAACTCAAGACAGAGGTTATGTACTGTATACAAGATAGGATGTTACATGTGGTTGAATGATTACAAAGAATCCTACATCTATATAGGTTTCTATAGATAATTTGCGGGCCAAGGCTTCCCAGAAACTTCTTTAAACTTCACTCAGCTTAGTCACTATCCTAGCTTCAGCTATAATCCCACAGCCCCATTCCAACCTTAAAGCCTGCTCAGGTCACTGCTCACCCGAGCCCGGAAAGCGGCCAAGAAGGAAGCCGAGTGAGTTCCAATCTCGGCGGTGGGATTGGACAGAGGGCTGTTGATTTTGTCTTTGGTGCTTCGAACGCAATAGCTGCAGCGAAGCTTTCATTTCCTTATCAGTCCTGACATGTCCGGGTGGGATCGCCGTGGACACTTCATGCCTGCTATAAACCTATATATGCATACATGTGCATGCACACATGTATAGCCGCCAGGCTAGCTACAGTAGCAGGTTTGTTTGTTGCTAGGGGGCCCGTATGCGCAAGATTATCCACTGGGGTTTCTGCATATGAAGAACAGCACGCGCAGGCAAGCTTGTGCGTATGGCGGCATGATGTGTTAATTTCGGTGTAGCTGCATCTGTGAACGCCAGCGCCTCACAGGATGCATGGCACAGCCTGTTTCACACATGTGATTTGTGTGTGCATTAGAGGCTCCAGCAGTCAATATGAAATGACTTATAAGAAATTTGCTCGTTCGCTCTATGCATCATATCGTAGCCAGTTGTTTGCATACTTGGCACTTGTAAATCTAGTTAGAGCTGGCTTCAAAGTTCGGCTTGCTGAGGCCATCTAGAATCTTCACACGCTGCAAACGACCCTCTCTCTTTGAAGGGAACAATGACATGATCAGGGGACAAGCGGTGTCCGATGCAACTTCGCTGCGTGAAATATGCTTGCTCGGGGATGGCCGGGGAAATTATACGCAGAGTCTGGTTAGCACATGCAAGACTCAGAAGTTTCTATAGATCACAGAGATGCCACAACTGAAAACCAAAACACAGAAACCTTATGAGTCAGATCAGACCTATGTGCACTTAATGCCACAAGAGAATCACCAGCAGCCAAATTGTCATTCAATTTTCCTTCTAGAACCCCTGACACCCTAGACTTCTTCGAGAAAACCCCCTCTCGAAATCCAGCCCAGACCACTCAGATCGCCCCGATGCCCTGTAAATTTTCGTGCCTCTAGTGAAATGAATACGTGATCTTGTCTGTAGCCATCCTCGACCAAAGTAGTAGGATTAAACGTCCTGTCAGGCGACTACAGCAGGCCCAACATCAGCCAACAAGTCTACCAGATTGCTCTGAAATATGGCAAGGGTGCCGGGGCCCCAGCGGTCACGTGCATTGATGGATCGCTTCCAACCTCATAGACTGCTGTGTGCTGCTACATCAAGCTCACTTCTGTTGCACATGGAACTAGTGTGAGCCCAACTTAAGTCGAAACATTACATGGATTGCATCAGTGGGGATCAGCCGTATGCAGTACAACATGTTTATAGGTCTGGAGCCCTTTGTGTGTCCTCATGGAAACAGCCCCAAAGCTGTCTATTTTCCCATGGACTGATTCTGAAGATGAAGATCTCGAGATGCAACAAAGTCAGCCGGACATCGAAATGGCTACCCCTACTTCACTGGCCTCTGCAAGCACGCAGCTTCCTGAGTCGCCCGCCACGTCGCCCCGTCTCGAAAGCTCGAGCCTTGACACGAGGTTGATTTCCGAGACTGCTGTGGCTTCGAAGATTTTGTGGCATTGTGTCAGGGTGATCAATGCAATCCGACAGGAGCACGGGGGCGAGTCACTTTGTGTATTCAAGATTGGCCTTACTTCCGATCCGTTTCAGCGCAGGAAAAGCTATCTGGAGCAGAATTTCAACAAATCCTTCGTCGTGATACATAGAGCTTCCCAGCCAGAGCTGCTAGGGATGATGGAGATGCTGGAGGCTGCTCTGATAGCCGAGTTTCATGACAATGAACGTTGCTGCCGAAACAAACAACTCGGTGGGGAGAGCATGCGCAAGAAGGATTTTTCGCCTAGGTTCCCACCTCCGTACTTTGCGTACTGTGCCGCTACAAGTGCTGCGCAGCGCGAGCCCATCCTGGGATAGTATGTATAATCTGAGTCATGCTGCTGTGTGATTTCACACAGTGAAGCTTTAAAAGCTCCTGCTGAGACTGCTCTGAAGAATCACAAAAAGCCCGAGCGCACAAGAGCGATTCTGCGCAGATGTTCATATGCACAGCTTCTGCATGACTGAGTGATGTAACGTTTATTGAAACCTGCCCATTACTGTGTATGCATACATGCATCGATCTGCAAAGTCCAGACTTTGCTCCGCCAAGGCCCCTGCGAAAGATCTCATCATGGATGCCCGGGCTGCCATCAAGAAGGACGCCTGCGAGGTGCTGGCGAAGATTGCAAAGGTGCAGCCGTCTAGTGCCGATGCACCCCTTTATGAAATCTTGTCCAAGAACGGGCTGAATTTGCCGCTTGACTTTAGCTGGACGCAGGCTGGCAATACCTTTAGATACCCCTATCTGAAACCCAAGACCCAGCTGGAAACTTTGAGTCACCACGGCTACTTTCATCGGGTGCTAGGGGTGCCTGTTCACTTGGCGTCTGAAGCACTGGAGCAGTTCTGGCAGAAGTTCAAAGCCCTGCACCCAAACCATGATATATTCGAGAACTCCGAGCACCGGGACTTTCAGAAGCTCATCCCTTACTACTTGCATGGTGATGGGGGGAGGGGCTACAAGAAGGATCCTATCGAGATATTGTCCATGTTTCCAGCACTTGGTAGTGGGTCGAGGAAAAGACCTGTGGACTTAAGTTTCAAGCGAAAATCAACGGATGAACTCGAGCTGGGCATCAATCTGCAAGGCAACTCGGGTGCCACACGGTTCTTGTTTTCTGTTTTGAGCAGCTTGGTGGCTAAGAAGGATGGCAATATTTTCGATGACCTCCTTGAAGTTTGGAGTCAAGAACTAAAGTTGCTACTTGATGAGGGCTTTCAGGCTGCAGGGAGCACATGGCGCGTCGTGATTTTGGGATTCACTGGGGATTCACCTTTTGTCAAGAAGGTTTCCAAAGCGACCCGTTCCTTCCACAATGTTCGTAAGACACATTCTTCGAAGGGCGTACAGAAGGGCTGCTGCTGGCTTTGCAATGCTGGCTACGAATCACCGGAGGATGGAGTTCACATTCCCTTCGAGCACATAGGCTTCACGCAGCCCCAATGGTTGCAAACCTGTGGATTGCGTAACCCGTTGCCGTGGGATGGCAATGGCGGTGCATTGCAGCAGCATGCCCTGCTGGACAGGGCCGATACCCCTGCAGCCTTTTATTGTACAGATTTTTTTCACGTGTGGCATGCTGGAGTTGGCCTTGACTTCACTTCGAGTGCATTGATCTATTCCATGAAGGTGGTGTTTGGACTTGGGGGTGTGCAGCGGGATCTCAAGGCCTTGAATGAATGTTTGAAAGAATGGAGCAAAAGAACGAAGAAGCAGCTTTACTGTGGGCGTCTTACAGAGGACCTTTTGGGGTACAATGGTACACGGGAGTACCCTGAAGGGAGATGGAGCAAAAACATGGATACAGCTACGATCATGAAATTCCTTGTTTACTTCTTGGAGCGCCCTGAATCCCAGGAGAAACTTCAAGCTGATGACATCATGCGTGACATTTTGGTGGCTGCAAAAGATATGGGCCACGTCATAACAACATCCCTCAAAGCAGAGTATTTCATGTCGGGCGAGCATACCCGCTTGTCGTCGAGTATGGGCACAGATTCCTTATGGGATATGGGGGTCTTGTGAAGAAGTGCTACGATCGGTCACTGTGCTTATTCAAGCTTAAACCCAAAGTGCACTACCTGAACCATATATTCCTTCGAAGTTACCAAGAGCTCAAAGCTGCAGGATTCGCGACGAACATTCTTGCGGAATCGACGTTTATGTCGGAGGATTTCGTGGGCCGGACGGCTCGGCTCAGCCGTCGGGTCTCGAGCCGTGCTGTCGCTGTGAAGACTCTTCAGCGGTATCTGTTGTTTATGAAGACTGCACTGGACAAAGATGTCTTCTCGATGATGGATTTGAGTATGTTCGGCTGAGTCACTTTGCAGCAACCATGTATTGATCGAGGGCGAACAACCATTTCTGAATTTTGCTTCTTATTGTAAACTTGTAAAAATCGTGCGATCGGCGTCATATGAACATAATTCGGTTAATAATTCGGGTCTTTATGTACTAGCTTAAATAGGACGCAACCCAACCCCGAACACCCCTATATAAACCAGAAACAGTGCGACCCTGCCCAGGTTCGCGCCTCGACGAGTCGCAGCGCCAAAACCAGCGCATACCGGGGGCCGAGGGTCACCAGGGCCGAGGGTTCTTAAGGGGATTTGGGATTGTGTGTTGGGTCTTGATACGTCATCGATCGCTAAAGGAAGGTTTTTCCTACAAATGAAGCATTATCGGATGAAAGTTTCTGGCATTCGCACATCTAGAACTTCTTTCCTGCTTGAGGAAGATGACTGGTGGCAAACCCAGAACCCCTAAACCCTGAAACCCTGAACCCGCGAACCCCTGAACCCTGAAACCCCGGACCTCCCAAAAGTAGTGGTTTGGCCAAACGCACACTTCTCAAACCGAAAGTGCGTGCGTATGTTTATTTACAGAGGTTTGGGTTCCCAGGTATATGCATACATACACATTTATGTATACGTTTATAAATAAATACATACATATATATATATCGAGAGAGAGAGAGAGACAAACAATTAAATTTAAAGTCTGCAGTATATACTAGATCGTAAATAGTCTGGTCTAGTGAGTCTAGTGTTTGCCCTAATTTCTCCTCGGCGTCAACTAACTTGGCTGCATGTGTCGAAGGAACTGCTGTGCCACAAAACTCCGTTAGTCGCTCTGCCTGTGACTGTACCATATAGGGTTTCGTGTTTAGGATGACCCCCGAGCTCTCGGACTTACACTGCCCAAAAACACTTGCCCTTCCCTATACAAGCACACCGCTAGACTCTGGTAATAGGATCTATTGCCCTGCAAGGGTGCATAGCACCGCTCTGCAAGCTGTACTACATACTCAGACTGCATGCTGATCTTGCGTTTCCACATCAATCATACCATTGGTGCTCATATGACTGTTGGTGCTTCTTGGATAAAGACACCAAGCATCACTGCACAAAGAATAGTCGAATAGTCATGCTACTCAATAGCACCATCAGTAACATCATGTAGTCCGACCTGATAGAAATAAGGATTTAATGTGCTCACCAAGGCCATCACCAAAATGACGATTTCTTGACAGTCTTGACAACCTACAGGGCCAAGGGTCTTCTCCCACACCAGAGGCACTCCCAAAAAGCAGGTCGGCCGACACGCGCAAAGCCGGTCCTGTCCGAGAGTCTGAGACGGTGGATAAGCTTGTCTGTGCTGCTTTTGGCTTTTGGGTGTGGCATGTTTCTGTGTGTTCCTCATGCAATTCTTGTCGGAGATAACCGAGCCTGAAAACTTAGTCTCAGGTTGTTGGCTTCTTTTACATCTTTGCGCATCAAGGCTGTCTGGGACAGGAGTAGGCGAGGTTGAAGTCCGTAAACAAAATGCACCAACTCGTGTGGCAGCTTCCGTGCATCTTCCAACCAGCAAACTAAGCTTGACTTCTTTTATCGTCTGAAAGGAGACTCCCGGTCAACAGTCCCAGTAGAGCATTCTAGACTCTGCAAAAAAAAATTTACAGACTAATTACACAGCATAATAAATTTCAGTGTGCAGGGAAAGCAGGCCCGGTCTGTCCTTCACCGAGCCGGCTTTCAGGTCGTAAGGCCGCGCGAAATAGACGGTGCACCAGGAGGGCCTTGATGGGGCGCCCAGAAACAGCCGCTGAGTCCGGCAATAAGTTCACCCTCGGTTCAAGCCTCTACAAGGGATGTAAGATGGCTAACGCTATGCCGTTGTCGGTGCTGTTCTCTTGGTGCGGCATGCACTCTGAGCTGCTATTCCAGGTGCTCTTGCCATTTGCCTGAACAACTTCCTGCTCCAGATCATCCAAGATGCGATTTGCCTGTCATAACCGTCGGAACACCTTACCATTGCGACAGGGGCAAGGAGCGCAACAGTCTGAACGTAACCCTCCGTTGCAGCAGGCCTTAATCGATCCTTGCTGTAACGAAGATCCTTTTGGGAAAATCTGCAGGATTGCACAGATAGCTTGCAGAAATGTTCAGTCGACCCGCAGGTCGACTTCATCCTTTTGTTGCTGTCCCAGCTGGGAGAATGCATGGACCTGGACAAGAAAACTCGCCCGAACACAGCAAACAGCCGGCTGTTCTGATCCCGAGGTCGAGCCTTGTTACTGATACTCCTCACTGTGACTCTAGAGTCTGACCTTTCCCATGGACACATTGCCAGAAAGCATCCAAAAGCATACTGCTAGCTACCATAGGGTTTCAGATACTTGCTGAATTAGTTTTGCCAAGAGCGATCAAGGCACAAACATCGACCATGAGTCCGGCCACGTGCGACATGGGCAGATAGGAAAGGATGCGCTCCTGACAGCATCATCATCATCAGCATCATCATCATCATCAAGATTGCAACATACTGCGGCTGTGGAAATTCAACCAAACCCAACTTTCAGAAGGAGTTGAGCCCACCATTGAAGCCGCGACAATTTGGAGTCCGGACCACGCCAATGGCATGAATCAGACCAAATTACGCGCCCCAATTCGCTTTCGAGTGAGTCTCCTCCTTCCCCTCCCTCAGCCAGATAGCCGAGGCTCACATAAGCATGTATACCTCCTTCCACATCTGTATCTATATCTATGTCTATCTGTATATCGATATCTATATCTGTATTATCCATGTCTACACCCATGTCTAGACATAAAAGTACCTGTCCTTCTTTCTTTTCATGCCTCCATACCTATATATGTGTGGATAAAACGTGTCATGTTCTCTTCTACGTACACAGTACGTAGATGGTGTTGACTGTTGCTTTAACGTTCACTGGCTACGAGCTGCATCACCCTAAACCCTAAACCCTAAAAACCCTAAACCCTAAACCCCTAAACCCTAAACCCCTAAACCCGAAACCCTAAACCCTAAAACAAGACGGCGGCTCAAGGCAGCAGGGCCATCCGGCCGTGTGTTTGACATCTGCCTGCTCTTAGCCGGCGCGTTGTAAGCTGAGACATAAGTCAACCTAGGATGCGAAAATAAGCAGTAAAAACAAACAAGGGTAAACACAAGCACATGAATAAAGCATCTACAACGAGATGAGCATATATATATATATAATGTATGCATACATACATCTTTAGTGTGTGGGCGTATGTGTATATACACATACCCAAATCTATATGCCTACATTTTATATACATAGACATACAGGTATAGAGTCTTCTTACTCGTGTCTATTTTGGCATTATGTCTTTACGTACTCGTTTGCCTGTCAGAAGCTGTTTCTGTAGTCAACGAGGACCTCGCCAATTGCCTGTGTATGCTCCATGCTCACGCGTACACATGTATGTGTGGCAAGCTCGGGCTTCTCGTCTCTCTTTATTCATTACCGTCTCCTGGACGAAGCTACGAAACCAGACTGTCAAGAATGCGCATCACAGTCGAGCACCGAAGCACATTGTGTTAAATCACCCCTCCAATGCAGGCCTGGACAGGGTTGACGCCAATGTCGTGGATTTTCCCGACAGTGGAGAGGAAAATAGAACTGGTCTCGAAGATCAGTGAATCCTCAGTGTTATGTGCCGCAGGTTGCTTCTGTAGCGTCTTGGAACCAACTACCAGCTTTCTTGGATGTGCTCATCAATGTTGTTATCTATGTGACGCCCATTCTTGCATGCTCTTTCGAAGGCGAATTTTTGAATGGAATTCGCACAGCCGCATGGCTGTGCGAATTTGTGAAACGATGCTCTACTGGCCTACGGATCAATGTGAGTTCGAGCTGTTCATCTGGCATACAGGCACTGCCCATAACCGCACATGCCACCCAAAAGCTGTACCAGCCTGAACTGGATAAGCCCAGTCCTGCTAAAGGCAGGAAGGAGTCGTGAGAGATCATCACAGCCTTCGGTTCGCCCGTGGTGCCAGATGTGTACCTTGTGATAGCACTCGACATGTTTCAGTGTCTCAGCAAGCATGGATGATGTTGCGTTGCTGTAGCAGGCAGCACACCCTCAAGCAAGCTTGTGATCTTTGCCACCATTCAGGCTCGTGGTGCACCGGAATGGTGGAAGCAAAAGGGAGGCTAGTCTTGCACTTTCGCACTCGGAAACCACAAGGCCTCCAATCACCCTCAAGCAACTCAACCCCATACTCATACTCCTGAAGCTCAGTACATCGACCTACTCCCTGACATTGCGCCCGCAACTCGAAGCCCGTGCGTCCCGCCGAATGTGCCGCCAATCTGCACCAAAGCAGCACACTGCTCCGGCCTCATTGGCAGCCGGATTAGTTTACCAGGGCATAGATTAGGACCTAGGGTTTCAGGGTACCCTGTAGCTCTGCCTTCTTAAGCTTTCTGCTATATCTAGGTAGCCGCCTTCATTTAGCTGAGCATGCTGTAGCGTTTCGCTGCAGCACTGTACCGGCTCCCTCTGTGTTGCGATAACCACTGCCACAGTTGTCACACTAAAGAACCAGCATGAAACCAATGTCGGTCAAAAAGCCGGTCAAACTCACTCTCGTCATCGGGAGTGCCGTTCTGGTTGTCACAGCATCTTGTCACGAACATCGTCAGGATCACCCAGCAGCAGGTCAACAGTATCAGCAGCATCACCACTTCTATC